ACTCAATCTACCATGAAATAAAGCAAGTCTTGATGTGTCTCCTGGGATATGGTAGCATTCTGCATTCCCCCCTAAAATCTTGAATGTTCTACGTATACACTTGTATTTCACACTTCTCCTTAAATGTTAAAGGAGTGACAAACACTTCAGAGCTTTGATTTTAGTCATTTTATTAAAAATTCTAAATAGTCTTTAAAAAACAAAAACAAAATGCTTAATCAATGCTATGGTAACCATTTGTACATGCACAGTTAAGGTGCTAAAAACAACACAAAACTGAGTAGGATACTGGCATATTGTACATGAGAGGTCAAATCTACAAGGAGTTTAGTGCAAGTTGAACTGTTAGCATTGGAGACCAGGTACCATGCTGGTGTATTCAAATCTATTTCCTATACTCAATCACAATTTCAGATAAAGGTAGTAAAGCTGATTTTTTTCAGAAAAAATAATTGGAAATAACAGCATTGATTGGAAGTACTACAATTCTGGAAGAATTTTCCTAGTATGAGTTGTATAAGAAAAAACCTCATGTTTGAAAACAGAGGAAGTAAACAATATTTTCTTTTATCTGCTACTTCATTTTGGTTCTTCTGCACTGACAAGAAGTAGCCTAATCCCACCATGTCATTTTACACAAATTACAGCATTAAACACAGGCGATTTGTGCTGAGAAGGCTGGACTATTTTTTTCTAGAATGAAAACTTATCTTCTCTGCCTACTACGTCAGAGCTGACAGAAACCAACTTGATTGCTAAATTGTTCAATATTCTATGTTTGTTACAGAAAAGGACCTGCAACAGTGACACAATCAAAACTGGGGAATGGGGAAGTAATGCTTCTGAGCAACGGAAACAGAAGGGAGCCTGGATACCATTCTACTGAAACTATGTGGCACTTTAAGCCAGTTTTCTTTCTATAAGAGCCACAAGAGTGATCTGCATAACTTGTTATCAACATTGGAAATAGATTTTACATAATGCAATTCCAAAGGTGCTTGTCCCAGTCAGTTAAAAAAGATCCTAAGAAACTGCTAATGCTAGACATCGTATCCTAATTTTTTGCTTGGTGCCATTTTGCAAAAGAGGAAAACAAAATCTTTGTAAAACCAAAGATTAACTAATTAATTCCTTTGCCGTTACAAAAAAAGCCCTCTGCTCATAGTCTCTGACAATAAACCCTCAAATTGTTTGGTTTATTGTGGCAGCGCTGCTCACAACAGGACACTTTTTATTGTGCGTGAGAAAGTAAACCGAGGAACTGGTCTAAACAATTTACTTCCTCAGTTGCTGTGTGGGGAAAAAAAGGGCAAACGACATAGGCCTTAGGTCTAGCACTTTCAGGTATGCAAGATGGAGCCAAAAGTGGCGGGAGTGCCTTGGAATTTCTAGAGCCACTGTGATTTGCATGTATTTTATCAATATTCTTAAAAAGTACTTGAGACTGCATATTATTATCTTATCTATTATCTTAGGTTGTATTAAGCCGGGAATTTTCTGTTTCAGCCATATTGGTCCCAATGAAAAACCTGTTGTAGTTTTGAGAGGTTGCACAGACTGACTGGATACTCACAATATAACATTTCCTGCATATACTCCTAGTACAGCATTTTAACAACAACAAAAAAATATGTAAACATTTTATTCGGAATGACTTACATATGTTTAACTGAAGGAAAATACACAGTCTTTGTGGGCTGGGAGGATCAGGTAAGCTGCCTGAAGAGGCAGGCAGGATGATGAAAAAAGACTGATTCGGAAAAGTGCATGCCTCATTGAGCAACGAAGGTGGAAAGAAATTAGTCTAGAGCGGTGTTTCTCAACCTCGGGAACTTTAAGATGGGTGACCTTCGACTCCCAGAATTCCCCAGCCGGCATGGCTGGCTGGGGAATACTGGGAGTTGAAGTCCACCCACCTTAAAGTGGCCGAGGTTGAGGAATACTGGTCTACGTGCACCTGCCCCAATTTCAGTACTTTTATTTGAGGAGTGGAGATACCTCAAACAAATGAAAGGTTTTCAAGCAGCAGCATTGGTGTGACTTACGAATTTCAGATTGTAAAAGGTAGATATCTTAACATGCAGTTAATAGAAAAGTGAATGAGGCAGTCTCCTATCCACTTCTCTCTTGCAACCAGCTTTGATGCATAGCTATGGGGGCTCTCCTGGTTCCATTCTATGTTACAGTAACAGAAATAGGCAGTTGACGAATGAGCTTTGACTAGAATGTGGAAGCAAACAATGTTGCTGTTTTCTAGGAGAATTTTTTTTTCTGAGTACATGAGTTAAATCTATGGGAATCCATGCTGACTCAAATTATACAGATGTTAGGAAAAAAACATATTTTTCTAGACATTTTAAATTTCCTTCAAAATACTACAGATGTTTTCTCCTACTAGAGATTTCTATGTTTGCCTATTTTAAATTAAGTGTAATTTGTGGACTGCTGTATGCCAAGAACAAAGGAAAACACTGCTGGGCATTCAATAGTTGTGTTGCCTTAGAGCTAAACTAGATGTTTGTTCCATTCATTGAATTATATGCATCTGTTGTGTAACAGGAATTGTGCAAAAACCCAAGCAGCCTGTGGACTGGAGATTTAATTTGTCTTTCCCCAATTCTGACCTAACAGCCTCACTTCTCTGAAGTTGGTACAGGTGGCCCTTATCTGCAATTCCATTATCCATGGTTCATAAATACAGATCAGATTGTATTATCTGCAAAAGGTTTGGGATAGTTTCAACTTTTGATACTCTAGAAATCTTCCAAACAGAACAATGTATTTTTTTTTTTTTTTTAGTGGGGGAAGATATTTTAAGCATGCACAAAATAATGGTGGGCTTTGCTCATGAATGAAGTATACTTTTTCAAGGTCTTGTTATGTACAGTTCTCTTATCTATGGCTGTTAGACTGGAATAGAACCACCACAAATAACAAGGGCTACCTATATTTAAATTTTATGGAAAACTCCCTTGATATTAAAGTACGTTTCTCCTGAAATGTGAATACCTGCAAATTTTGCCAGAACAACAGCAGAGAGAAACCCCTGCTTACTATGGCTCAGAGGCTGTTCAGGCTTCCTCATAATTATATTCTCACAATTAACATCAGCTCGATCCCAATTGACTTAAAGCGTCCGTTCAAGTTACAAAACAACTGATCTGGCGCTTCACAATTTTTAAATTTGAATTTAAAATAATACTAAGCCTAATTCTTGTAGCTCCAAAGTATTTCAGCACCAGTTACTTTTCTTGAGGAACCAAGAAACAATGAAATGGTTTGTCATGAAATTTTAGATACCTGGCATATTTGTTCTCTATTATATATAAAAAAGTTGATAAAAGGGAGGGTGCATATTAAGAAAGAGAACAGTCATTTCCCAGCAGTAGTATTAGAGCAATAGATGAGGTAGGTTTAAACACAAACAAGTGCTTCCTTAACTCATGCCAATAGCTGCCTTAGAAAAATCAAGTTCACTGTCCAAGACAAGCATGGGCAATGTTTTAATTAAGAACTGCAGATTTGCATATTTGAATTGCTCATTTGTATACCATTTGTAAGTGTGAATGAATACAAAACCATAGGTGGTTATTACGTTGCACTTAAGAATTGACCCTTTGTAACTTAACTTGGAGGTAAAGCCCATTCTGTTTAATTGGTCTTACTGTCTTGTACAATATATTTTCAGTTGCATTTTCAAATGAGAAAAATCCCCTATTCTGGAACTACAATCTCCACTGCTGCTCACTGAGTTGGTCTCTAAAAACTGAAGAGCTTTGAAATAATACTTGAGAGCTAGTGCTTCACAGGTGGGCAGAATTCAAAAAGCTCCTTACAATATACTGAAGGGTTTGGCATGCCAGTGGCTGGTCTTATATATAAGGCTAAACTATGATGCAGTTTGTTCTGTTATAGCTTAATCCAGGCTAGTGTGGTTTACTCAACTGAATTATACGTGAACCCAACCACCTTGTTAAAGCAGCCTTCCTTCCCTTATCCCAAGCTACTATTTTTAAAAGATTCCAAATAACACCTTTATTTTGAACCCAGGCTTAAAGAAGGGAATGGAAAAAGCTGTATTTGTTCTTCTGTTCTCCATATGCATATCTTGAATTTGGATCTGAAAACAAGCAAATGTAACCTTTTCTCCTTAGTGGCTGTCTGCTGGCCTCAGCAAATATTCTTCATAAAAGGCTAACAGATTATTCAAACTACAGTACATATTATCTTATAGATCTCCTTGCCCTTTCTCTCTCAAAAAACATCTCAGATTCCTTGATCCTAATAGAGGCCATTAAACCTTTCCTCCCAAAAATGCCCTAGATACAGCAAGAACTGTTCAAGGCACTGATGCTGAAAGGGTTGAAGCATGGGGGAATTTTCCTAATATTCCTAAGGACTACAAAAGTAGCTATATTAAGAAATCATTTTCTCTCCTATCCAATGAGGATTTTGAAAGTGTTGAATTCAGTTTGGTAATTAAGAACCAACTCCACTTCCCTTCTTTCTCTTTGAAAACAAGTAGGAAATTGGAGTATTTTCTACTAAAGCACAAACAATACAAGAAACTTTACACCAATTGTTGATAACCTCCCCCCTCCCCTCCCCTCCCCT